AAGACACTAGAGGTTTTCTAACTCCAAGCTCTCTAAGATTCCAAACTCCAAAAATCTATCCTATGGAAAGAGACTCTAAAAGGGTCTAACCCAAAACTTCCTAAAGTCTAAACCTCCAATGTTCATCCTTAGCCATAACCACTAAAAGAATTTGATTCAAATAGGAAAGCATTAACTATTCCCCAAAGGATACTAAGAGATCCTACTACACAAGTTCAATCATAAAGTCATACCTCTTGAAATAACTTGCTAAGACTTTTCAAATGGGCTACTACGTGAAACCTCCTCAAAAGTTATCTACCAAAATCCCTTTTTGTCACAAAATCCTACCCCAAATAACCACTAATCAAGTGCCTCTCCTCTCATTTGGAGTGGGGTAGAAAACATAAAGCTTTCCAACTAGAAGGTTTTATAAGAACCTCTCATTATAAAGCACTCATAAAATTCGTCGCATAAAACAAATCCAAAGCCACTAATAAATCATTCCAACCAAAGCAAAACAAGACATTTTTCAATCAAAAGCGACTTTACAAAACTAATTAAAACTTTCTATAAAGTCTCCGACAATAAAACAACTTGCAATGCTTTCTAATACGAAATCACTCTTGAAATTTTTTTTAAATATAAGACAACTTATAACATTTTTTTTTTAAAGACGACTAATAAAACTTTAACATAAAAATGTCATTTGCAAATTTTTTCAATCATGAAGCAAATCATAAATCTTCTCAAAATAACACAAATCATAAAGCTCTTTAATATAAAACAAATCATATAATTTCTCAATATAAAAAAAAAAAATACAAAACTTCTCCAACATGAGGCAGCACATGTATTTAATGTTAGAACCCAACATTTTCTACTAAAAAGGTAATGACAAGAGAGGAGTTTGATGCAATTTGCTCTTCCTATGCTTGAAAAAAGTATTTCAACATCATGAATAATGATATATAAAGATCCTTACATCATAGTACGTAAAAGTCATCTCATAAGAAGATTATATAAACTTGTGCTGATTCAAATCAAACTTATCACATTTCATCTCAAAAAGACTATAAGAAACTTCATATATTTCATACATAGAACTAGCATCAAATTTACTTGGGTTTCTCAAACGAATCATAAAACAAATTTTCAACAAAATGGATGATGCATAAAACTTTCCTACAAGAAGACAATTCATAGGACTTTCCAACATGAAGCGTGCCACCTTGCATTAGAATCATACACCTTTGGGAAAATTGAGACCAACATATAAAATGAATGGAATTTTCAATGAACCCACTAAGCTTATTTCCAACACAAAATTTACAACCACAGTTAGCAAGAAGATGTGGAACCACCATGATACTAACAAGAGAGAAAACAAACATGCTTCATATTACTAATCATAATTTAATGATTCAAGAACTTTGAGAAAGGAATAGCATTTGACAACATCAAGTATCTTGCTTGTCATATCCAAATTCAACTAAAGAAATCAGGAACCATCACACTTCACGTCAGCCAACAAAACAATTGATGCACTTAATGTTGAAACCCAAAACTTATAGGAAAAGAGATTTAATGTCAAGTTATTTTCTTCAACCATTAAAACAATATTCCACTAACATAGATAATAACGCATTGAGTTCATAAACCATTTGAGAATTTCTTTCTAAGCATGTATGTGGTACATAAATACTCACTAATCATGAATATAAGCATTTTTATCTATCACTTGATTTAGAATAAACATGAATCCCTTCCAACAAATTGTATTTTTCATGCTACATGCCACCAATGATTCCAAATAACTTCTCTAATTAAAAATCCATGACTTTACTCTCATGCCAAAACATATTCATGAAATCTTTCCAACAAATTCTCATAATGATGCCAACGGATAGTGTATGAGTGGAATAACAAAGATGTAAAAAAAAGCTCTAATTCAAGTCTTCCCACATATGATTCTTACAACAAGACGTTCTAACATAATCCCAGGTCATCCCTACTAAAGTATTGAAATAAACTCCACGTGTAACATGAATGGTAGAAGATGCACCTTATAAGTAATTAAGAATAATTTACGAGGAGCTCCTTTAATACTTCTCCAAAGATGCTCCATAGATGGCTCATTTCATTGGAGCACAAAACAGCGAGAAATATGCTCATAATGCGTTCCAAAATAATTCGGAAGCCCAAAACAGTAAAAAAACCGCACTCGACTTGCTCCCAAAGCAATTCGGCGCATGAAAAACAGTGAAAAACTGCACTCGTTTCACTTCTAAAGCAATTCAGAATATAAAAGCAGTAAAATTCTGCACCTATCCGTTTACAGAAATAGCTTGAGATTCAAACCAAATCACAAAAACTGCACTTGTATTATTTCTAACACAATTTAGAAGTCTAAAAAGTAAAAATTATGCATTCAACTAAATATAGCCAAATATCAAGCATGTGTATCGCCACAACACAATATAGATTTGAAATATGAGATTTATAACTATTCTCCAACAAACTTCTAGTTTCCAAATCTATAAGCTATCCAATATTTCAAAAGCATAAGCCTACTTTAATAGTACCAATCATATGATTTTGCGAGTACCTTAATGGGTGTCAACCACGCTCTTTCCAATTTGTTAATGACTTTAACTACAAATTTATACTAATCACAAACTCATTTGAAATAATCTATTGGCTGCTTGAATACTCAAAATAACAAATAAGCTTTGATTATACAGATTGTTATATTTAAATACTTAATTCAGAAGCAACACAGTTGTTTAGAAGTTCTAGGTCATCTCTAAGTTGTCATGCCATTCCCATAAAAAAAAAAGTTCTATCAAGGAAGCCATGTATGGTGACGGTTGACATCCACCATCAACCCGGCTCTTCATGCTATGAACAGCACTAAACTTAATATAAGCATACAATTAGGACCTAATTGATTTTGACTGTAAAGTTGAAGCAATCGATAGTATTTATCCATAGCTCAAAAAAACTTTTGCCCTTCAAGATAGAGATTTTAAAGGTTCTTCTCAAAGCAAAATACAAACTGAAGAAAATGGGCCCTTGAATTTCACCAAAATGCCTTACATTCATATTTCGTTTCTCATTGTAACACCAAACCAACAACATTTTTTTAAAATAAGAAATTAGACAAATACATCCAGAAAAGGGATAAAAATAGCTCAATGCAAGAGAGAAGAACATAGAGAAATTACTTCTTCTTTTTTTTAAGAAACACTTCATGAAGGAAAAGAAAATAAACAGAACTCAAATTCCATACATCTCACCAAATAAATAATTTCATACATTTTTTTTTTGAAAGACCTTTAGGTGACGAGTCAGAAGAAACTCTTCCATAAACAAGACTGTCACATAAAGCTTTGATATAAGCCATGTAATTAAGATTTTTCTTTTAGAAACATTTCATCGAATAGTTAGTGTGCAATATTTACGATCACCCATAATCATAGAAGTGGAGAAAAAAACTTTCTACACACATGATTAAGATCACTACAGCACCATCCACATAAAACTCATTAAGACTTTAGAATGAAAAAAAAACAATTATAACCATCTAAAACTTACTATAGCATTTCCAAAATGGATTGCTCAAGCTCAAATGCACAGACAGAGACATTAATTTATGTCAAGATATAGATTTCAAGCACAGCATTTAAATCTTCAATGCTCGACCACAAGGTCATGTAAAAGTGAATTGAGAATTGAGAGGGAAGTAGAGGGAATGAGAAAGGAAGAAGAAAAGAACGTCAAGAGAGAATTTAATTCCAAGTTTTTGTTGAGCTTAAATCCCATTTTCCTTTCCAATCTTCCCATTTGAAGTTGACATGAAGAAGTCGCATAAGTGGAAAAAGAGGTAGGAAGAAGGAGAAGAGAAAATCTGGGAAAGGAGGGAAAAAAAAAAGAATGGAAGAATGGAAGAAGAGGCAGAAGGAGAGCAAAGAAACAGAAGAAATAAAGGAAGAGGTTACCTGCCCTAGAGGAGGAGGAAGTCACTCAAAGGAGGTCGGCAAATCCGGCGTCTGGCCTGACTGGGGGGCGTCGGGTTCCTTGTGAGCAGAGGAGGACGGGAGTTCTGGCTCTTCTGGCGAGAGTCAAAGGGGTTTCGGTCTAGACTTCCGCCTGGCTTCGTAGGTGAGAGATCGAGAAAGGGAGATGGAGGAAATCGGGTAGTTCCGCTTGGGCTGTGCGAAACTGAGAGGAGGCACGTCACCTGGGCCTCTGCGAGCAGGAGGGATCGAGAGAGGGTGAGAGAGGGAGCTGAATCCAGAGAGAGAGAGATCGCCACCCGTTAGAACTCTTTTTTTTTTTCGTATTCACTCTCTATACCCAAACATCGAAGCTTCGCCTCTGCCCGAGGCCTGCTCCCGTCTCAGCGAATCGTCTGAGACGCGGGATTTGGGCTGAAATGAGGATCCCGTTAAATCATAGCCGTCAAAGGAATTACTAGATTTAAGGAATGAATTCAAATTAAGCCAAAAGTGGATTGGAATTTATTTGAATTAATTTGAGTTGATTTGAATCAGATTTGGGCTCAAACCAAGCTCAATTCTAGGCCAAATTTAGGGTCGAGACGGTTCGACCTAGTCATCCGACAAAATTGCACCCGAATCGACATCAATTTGAATCAAATTGAACTCGATGCAATTAAAATAAATTAAATTGAGTGCGATCAAGTCTAATTGAAATCAATTTGGATCGATTCGAGTTTGAATTGGGCTCGACGAGGTCTAATCGAATTGATCGAGTGCGCTCGACGGTATTCGAGCGAAAAAACGAGGTCAACAATCTAAACCTTATTTTAATATATATTCCTACAATCGGTGCATGTGAGGAGTCCTCTAGTAGGATGTTCTGAGGATAGCTTTTGTTTGTTTTAGTTTGTTTCTTTGTTAACTTTTTTTTTGCTTTGGCTTTGTTGGATGATCGCCTCTTTTCTATTCTGAAATTTAGTTGTTTATTTAGCCTATTTTGTTCTCCAAGTGGTGTCTTAAATTTCTAAAGAGCTAGTCTTGAATTTCCTTGTTCTCTCTTTGGGTTTTTGTTTCAAGTTGCATACATCAACCACCACCACTAACAACAATAATATCAAGTCTTTATCCCACTACATGGGTCGGCTACACGAATTTTTTTTCTCCATTGTGTCTTGTCAAGTGTCAAATTCTCATTTTAATCTAATAAAAAGGTCATTTTAATTTTTTCAAACCTATCTACATGCAATGATATATGAGGATATCCTTGATATGAAAAAATGCATTGAGGAAACATGCAAAATTTAAATGTTATTGCCATGAGCTCAATTCATGCAAATGTTAGTATGACAGTAAGTTCAAGCATTTTTTGTTCAAATCATGCGGTTGGTGACAATTATATCAGACGCTCTCAGTATAAAATTTCCATAAGCATGTAAAGGAATGCAGTAAGTTTTAGTATATTACTAAAGTGTTTCCTAAGCATAGTCGTACACTTGAACATAATTTTTTATTTTATAAAAAAATCAATCCAGACTTTCGTGTTGGAATCAAATGCACGAGTCACAGAGGGTAATCAAACTTTGCTTGATGGGGTGAACTACAAGTCTGAGGCTGCATTCCATCTTGAAGCAGCAATTTGATGTAATGTGTGAGGAAGAACAAAATGTGGATGGGTTTCTGCATCATGTGTTCAGCCAAATGAAATATGAAGTTTTTCTGGCAGATTCTTGCTATTGGCCCTTCATTGGAAGACAGTAAAACCAGCAAAATCAGCGCTATAGCAGAAGGGGCTTGTTCATTGTGATAAAAGCAGTGGCAGCAAGTTTTTTCTTCTGTCGCAACGAGTAGTGGTTTTGCAGACCTGCTTTGTGTAATTGGTAGTAAGAAGGAATAAAGGAATGGAATTCTAAGATCCCCACTCTCAGGACCACTGTTCCCTATACTGCTACTGCAACCCATTCCTTCCATCCTCTTTTGGCTTCCATGCTATGATAAGTTTATGATAGGGTATAGTTTGGTTGAGTTTTCTTTAAGAGAAGTGGAAAATGACCAGGTTTGAAAGTTTTAATTCAAAATTTGAATTTGAATTTTGAAATTGAATGCCAAACTTTAATTCAAAATTTAAAACTTGAATTCAAAATTTAAAATTCATTGTGAATTGAAATTCAACTGGATAAGAATTGAAACTTTAGTTAAGGATGGGATTAGAATTTTGAACGAAGAAAGGAGTTTTATGGGGAGAAAAGTATGAGCAGTTTTGAGTTTGAAATTTGTTGGTAAAGGATCTTATTAGCTTAGAGAGAGGTGTACTTTTGGCCCGTGCATAGTTTTCTCTGGTTGAGGGTGGTGACTGATGTGGCTAGGTCGAGGCGATTGCATAAAGATAAAATGCCGTAAAATGCAGCAAGCAGATAAGAAGGCGTAAACAGAAGGAAAGAAGTTGTTTAGGTTCAAAAACAATATCAATTCAGCGCCTCACTTTAATACCAAATTGAAGCACTGAAGAAAGGGAGGCATCACAATAGCAATGCAAAAAAGATTGAATGCTGTTTTCGGGTTTGCATTTTTGGTTCAACAGTTAGAATGCTGAAACTTTGCAATCGGATGTTGTTTGGTTGCTGAAGAATTATCTCTGCTGATTTGACAGCATGTTAAATGTAGAAGTGTTTAGCAAGTCACGGTATTTAAATGCAAGTTGTATTGGTTGATTCACTGCATTCCTTCAGCCGCATTAGAAATTTAGAGCTATGCGTTGGTGGGTGGTGAAGGAACCTTATTGGGCAGTTAGATAACAACAATAGGAATGAGAGGTGAAGATTTGAAAGCCAGAAGAAAATTGGTTGGAAGAGGTGGAGGGTTCTGTGAAAGAAGAGGAGAGAGAAAGAGAGGGGTTGAGTAAATAGTTGGAGAGAGAAGGAATCGGTTGTAACTTATGAGAGGAAAAGCTGGGTAACGGAAATGCAGCCATCAATTTGCATTCCTTTCATCATTATCTCATACGTAAGCCCACGGGTTCCTTTTTTGGTAAGGAACCTAAAGGTGCAATTGCTATGATGTGCTCACTACTCAGAATAAAGGCTTGAAAAAGAAGAAACCAACTTCTAATACCTCAATGAATCAAATAAAGTGATAAATGAATCACAACAATCGATGTAGCCATCAACAAAGCTATCACAGCTTGTTGGAGGCAGGAAAACTAGCAATTTCTGATTCCCTCCGCGTCTTTTATTTCTAATTCCAACACAAACACGTACCCTATTCTCTATTGTCTTGTGCCATTTTCTTTCTAGTATTCACACCAACTTATTGGGTTTAGAAAGGGTGTCTCCCCTCCCCCTCTCGCTCTCTAAAACCTGATGTTTATTTATTGCAGTGAAAACTGTAGCTATAGCTGCACCATCATTCTCTTCCATTTGTGTCTTGAACTCCTTATTTTTTGTACTTCTCCTCTCTATCACTGCCTTTATTATTTTCTTTCTCAGATAAATTTAGGTGGTGGATGCACACCACTTCTCTCTCTCCTCCCGATATTATTTTTCTCAAAAAATTATTCTAATTTGGAGTTGGCATTATAGTTATATAATGTCATAGTGTCTTTAGGGAACCACTAGCTGCTAGAAATTAGGATTTTAACCTTCATGTGACTGAGAGAATGTTAAGCAACCTATAAGATGAATACGATTTTTTTGTGGTCTCTTAAGTAGTTGATGATATGATCCATAAACTTCAAGTAATGTTTTATAATTTTTTTTGGGTTGTAATATCTCTTTCTACATTTTCTTTATAAAAAGTTTTGAGTAAGTTTATTTTGATCAGTTTTGAACTTGTTTGGTGACTCCAAAACCGTTAAAAGACTTAAAATTTATTTTCTATATTTTCATTGCATTATTCTTCTTCTTCATTTAGGTGATGTCATTTATTTCCTTAATATTTACTCATTATCTTAACCAAATTGATGAGCTAATATAAAATGAACAATTTTAGTTTAGCCTTTACGGCTTACTTGATTGCTTGCAAATATAAACCATATTTTAGAAAGTAATGATTTTATTTTCTTTAACTTATTATGAGTGCTAAAAAGAAATATTCACTTTTAAGGAATTTTGAAAATGTTTGTCTATGCTGATTTTTGACTACTTCCAACCAGATAATAGAATCTAAATAAATAATCATTTTTCAAAACATGTTTTCAATTTCAAGCAACCAAATGAAAACAATAAATGCAAAATAAACGATAGGCTTAACATGTAGCTATAATACAACCAATAATTTATAAGACCTTAAATATAATTTCTGAACTAGGACTTGAAAGAAAATTTTATTTTTCTATAAATTTAGCAATTGATATTAATGAGGATTTTAAAAGAAATTTAAACATCTTTGTTTTAGTTAGTTGCTATTCTTTTTGTAAAAGTAAGTTGTTGAAAAAAATATAAATTTGAGTGACTTGATTTCAAATTTAATTTTGGACTCAAAATCAATTTAGAATTTGCTCAGATTTGCTTGAATATGTACCTAGTCTACTCGAAATGATTTATATTAAAGTGAAGTTATAATAGAAAATTTTGATTTCAAGTTAAGCTAAACTTGTTTAAACTTGACTTGGTATCATTCCTATGTAAAGACAATCTAGAAGGTTTCTTTTAGTTAAAATATATTTAAGGATCATAATTAGAGTTTTTCAAAATATTTTTCAAGAAAATAAAGAATTGTGTTGGCCATTCTTTATCCAATGTTGGTCTTTTTTATTTTGTTTCTTATGCTTCTCTTACGATATCAAAAGTTTTTTCTTGCAGACAGAAACTATTAACTTGGCAAGTAAGAAGGATAGTACAGAAAAAGTTTTAAAAATCTTTTCAAGAGGCCTTGACGCTTCCAAATCTATAATAGATTCAGATGGGCTTCCTTTTGTAGGACAAGTATGATTCAAGTTTTATAGTTTTGCAAATATATTCCTAGTTGTTCTTGGTTTTGGAAAATAATACTTGAATTTATATTTATTTTGAATGTTTCTTGCGTAGACGATTCATCCAAATGAGCCGAAGTATTGTACTTATAATGCACTTTCTAGTTCATCTTCAACGTTCAAACTAAAGGGATCTGAATCCGTGACAGTTGATTATGTTGCTATTGACGGTACTTCTTCAAAGAAATACATTCAAAAGGTAAACGATATTGTTGATATGATCCATATTCACAGTTCACATTTTTAAAAATAATTAGTCTTATTTGGTTCTTTTTGGTTAAAATAATGGTATAGAGCTCTTACTCTTTTTAGATTTTATTTTTCAGCTTATTATGTGTTGGTAAAGTTCTTTTGTGAGGTATTAAGTGGTTAAATAAATTGACAATGTTGGGTAAATTGTTGGCCTATATCTAATTGGGTGTATGGATTGGCATTTTTAAATAATTGGTATCTTAAATAAGTTGATGTAAAGTATTTACTCAAAATATAAAAAATGAGTAATCTAAGAAAGTATAGTTTACAACTATGAAGTATAAGGAAAAGAAAGATTTAAAGTTGCTTTATATGTGAACTATTGTCTTAAGAATGTATGGGTATACGTAATCTTAACAAGCTAAGAATTCAAATTTTGTAATACAAGTGTGACGAGAGTAAGAGTATAGAATAGATAAAGCCAAAGGACACATTATTTAAATGGTCTGACTTTTCTACCAAGCATACTTTCACCATATTCTTCCTTGCAAATTCCTCCATTAGTCCTTCGTTTCTTGGTGAAGCACAAATCCTCACAGTTTTATTTTACCAAGCACAAGAAGCGAAATCTCTACCCACTTTAATAATGTGGTTGACTATTCCGTAATAATTAGTTGAAATATTTCAAAACTGACTAGCAATAAGAATACTACTCAAGTAAAGAGGAGAAATATAACGAGTAGAATTATACATGATGTTACCAGCTTAAAAATTGTTTAAAGAAATCCTAGTAAAAATTGCTTTCAATATGAAGTAAATGATTGAACTTGTAGAAGCTTTATTTTCACCCGAAGTACTAAGTTCCTGGAACTTAGCTCTAGTTGCTTGAGGATATTGTTCTTCTAGTTCAAAATTATTTAGTTGAGGATATATAGAATTAGGCACAAGGAGCCTAAGGTTTTCTGAGTGAAGGTAATGTAATTGTAAGACGATGGATGTTGCTTTGCTCCTAAAGCAATGATCTCTGAGTATAACACTATTTTCTTGAAGATATGTAAGTTGGACAGAAGAAGCTTAAATGATGACTAGCATCAAACTGAGAAAAATGGCCTACAATTAAGAAAAAAAAGCTAAGCAAAAGAACACTGATCTTATTTTTTATCCAAAATAGATGAGCTCTTGGAGCTCAAAATCACAGCTTAATGAAGATTAGCTTCAAATTGAGAAAAAAATGTCCGACAATTAAGAAAAAAAGGTCAAGTAAAAGATACGATCTTTTTTTTTTATATATATATCCAAATAGATGAGCTCTTGGAGCATAGAATCACTTCTAAAGATAATTTGCAGGTGATGACGCAAGAAATGCTACCAAGAGCTTGAAGCAAGAGGAAGTATGTCGATTCAAAGTGCTGACTGGTGAAGAATATAAGCTATTTGGATGCTCTAGAAACTAATATGTAAGATGGATTTGGGGAAAATTAACAAAGTGAATGTAAAGTGATTAAATATTTAATTGCGGGCTCCAAAAATTCGGCCCCGGCCTTCGCTCGTTGTTGCTTTTATTCAGGGTGGGGGGGGTTTAACGGATTAAGTTCCGGGGAAGGCAGATGGGTTTGTAGATAAGACACTACCCAGAGATTTCGCCCTCATTTTGTGAGGACTTTATGATGAGTTCTGGTTTTCTATAGGTGCAAGCCCCTATAGTTAATTACCCCTCCCGATAACAAGAGAGAACTTTCGATTAAGGCTAGTCGTCAATCATATACGTTGAGAATACATGTTATCTGGCATATAGTAGCAACATGGGTATGGATATTGGAGAATTTATATGTTTGATATTTAAAATAAAACGTTTCACCATCTTGCACTTAAAGTGAATGGTGGGGGATGGATGATGGACTCGATCAAGATCCCATGGTTCCATTGTTCCGGGCCATCGTGGTCCCTGATCTACTTAGTCAGAGGAGATAGTCGACCCAACCTGATAGAAGGATCCTTGTTGATAGCCATTGGTTGCTTCGTCCAAGGGAACCTATCGATTATATCTTATTAATTTATATCTCAAGGATTTGATGTCACTAAGGAGCGTATTTGCTTTGGTCATAACCGGTATCTCGTGGTGCCATTTGACGGCAAAACTACTCTTTTCAGAGGTCCCCGGGTCATAATCGTTTATCATGCGGTGCCATTTGACGACAAAACTGCGGTCAGAGGACACGTACCACGTCCTTATTGACAGTAGAATTTTTGAGAATGGATCCTTGTGATATTTTCAACTAGGCATTAACTCTATGTGAGCTAAAGTAAATTTCAATTTATCCAGCCAGATAAACTGTTGCGGAGGGTGGATGAATTTTGCTTTAAGTGGTTGAATGAATTATTTCAATTTTAAATATTTTGGATTTGGAATAATTTTGGGATTTTAGATTTTCAGGTATGTTTGAGGAATCATTTGAAAATATTTGTGAATCCCTCTGATTGAGATAGACATTCAACATAGCCATCATCAGGGTGTTCGGGTCTATTTCTATTTTTATATTAAATCTTGTCAACTCTGCCGAGCTGTCAACAGAGGATCGGGTTTCGTAGGCTTTGTGTCTTTATGAGTAAATTCTCATTGTTATAGGCCTTAAAGGTCTAATATGAATATACTATGATAAATATAACGGTCGCCGCAACCATATATTTGTTTGATGGTTCGAACCCTATCGACTTCTATTGATCCGCATAGAAGGATCAGGTTCGAGCTTGAATTCACTTATCAACCTGCACAGCATCCCTAGACGTCACATGTATCCCTACAACATGCTCGTCAGGGATCATGCAGGTGTATGATTATAATTACCCATTGTTTGTACCTATGTGTATACAAATTATGTTGCATGTGCGATGGTATTTTGGACATTTAAGGGCCCTTCTACGATAGTTCGTAAATGTTTGTAGTCATTTGTATTTGTTATGCATCATCGGCTTCTGTTGGTAGAGGATCAGTGTATTTGTCGCTGCCTTTTTACAAACTATATAAATATCTGAGTGCTTGTCGTAGGCTTCTTATGCCCTTCTTGTAGATGACATATTATGTGTGTGACAGAAGTTCTACCATTGCTAGTAGGAACTTGCATTTATTTTGTACTATCCGCCTCTGCTTGCATAAGACCGGTGTATTCACTTTATACTTTGTGGTGATCGATTGCAAGATGTTGTTGCATTCATTCTCAGCCTTCCCTATGTGTGTGGATTGGAGAATTATTGCATTATATTATATGAATTTCAATATATGTGGGGATTGTTGCAAGTGCTTGTATATCGGTCATCGTCGGCTCTAGAATACCATACTATTCATTGTTTGCCGACGATCATCACTTGTAAATATGTTATTGCACTTACGCCGAACTTCTTGCATTCATCTTCGGCCTTATTGCCATTATTCCAAATCACCTTTCTGATGCAGGTCTGTATGAATGCAATTAATTTATTAGGAAGTTGCATAATCCTTGGTTAGATAAAAGTGAAATAACTATTAGCAGCTTAAACAACGAAATAAAACGAACAAGGGGCCACACCCGCTTAGGCTAAATCACATAACTAGAGCTTTAAAACCTTCAAGATAAATTAGAAAATAACATGATGCCATAGTAGTAGCTTCAGATAAAATTCCTAATTTAACAATGAGAATTAATAAGTATAGAGTCACGCTCATAACCCTATGTTTACTAAGCTTAGCAAAAGCAGGGAGAATTGTCCTTCGTAACTACAATCAAGCACAAGATAAGATTAGACTTAAGAAATATGTTGAAAGGGGGGAAAAGAGAAACTCTGTCATGGGACGGTGGAGATCCTCCACTCGATGCCTTCAAACTGTTCTTCGATTGCCTCCACCAAAGTGTCCAGAATACGCTCGATGTAATCTTCAGCGGTGTGATCAATCCTTGTATTAACGTCAAAGAAGGTTGACTGTAGAATGTCGAAGAAACTGTCCTCGTCGTAGGTTAGGCCTTATTCAGTCTCCGGATCCGCCATTCATAGATGCTAGGTGACAAATCTCCTCCCGCCTTGCTAGGGCTCTTGAGTATAATTGAAGAGAAAGAAGTTTCTCTTGCTAAATGAAAGAAGGAAAAGCCGAGACATAATTCTGACTTAGAAGAATTAAAGCAAAAGATATATCTTGAGAAAAAAAATTTTATTGAAGGAGATTTAAATGGACATGTTGGTAGAGAGGTAGATGATTTTAAAAACATTCATGATGGCTATGGCTTTGGAGCGACTAATGAAGGTGGTAAGATCAATTAGATTTTTTTTTAGCTTATGATTTTGTAATTGCTATTGCTTTTTTTAAGAGAAGATATGAGTATTTCATCACTTATAAGAATGGATATAGTTAAATTCAGATTGATTATTTTCTTATAAGAAAAATAGATCGTGTAGGTTGCAAAGATTGTAAAAAGTTTATTCCAAGTGAAAGTTTATGTACCCATCACTTATTAGTTTTGGACTTTAAGATGAAGGAGCGGAAATAACAAATAAAGTAAAACGTTGTTCTAGGATTAGATGGGGGCTTTTAAAGAATATTAAAAAAATATTTTTGAAATTAAGATACTAGATCTTAAGATTTTGTTTGTGCATGAGAAAACTAATATTATATGGGGAAAAATAGTTAGTGATATTAAGAATGTTGTAAAAGATGTGCTTGGATTATCAAAGATAAATGCTCATAATTGTAAAAATAGTTGGTATTTGAATCAAAATGTTCAAGAAAAGATAAAAAAAGAAGATTTGTTATAAAAATTAGTTTAAATGTAAATTTTTTGATAATTATGAAAGATATAAAGAGGCCTGTAAGGAGTCTAAGAAAATAATATGCGATGCAAAGATTTAACTTTTAATGATTTATATAATAAATTAAATACTGAGGGCGAAAGATATACATATAAGTTAGCCAAACAAATAGATAATAGTTGTAAGGATTTAGTTCAAATGAAGTGTATTAAGGATGAAGATAAAAAATTACTTTTATTCTAAGAAGATAATCAACAAAGGTGCATGAGATATTTTTATAAACTCTTCGATGAAGATTATAAGAATGCGATTGACTTTAGTTACCTTAGCACCCTAAATGAAAATAAAGATTTTTGTTTTTATTAGTGTATTAGTAAAACTGAAATTAGATAGGCTTTAAAGAAAATGAAGTGTAGAAAAGTTGTTGAACCTGATAATATCCCAATAGAGGTGTGGAAATGCTTAGGAGAAGGAATTTCTTTGCCTACTAAACTTTTTAATATTATTTTGAAGACTAAAAAGATTCCAAATGAGTGGAGAATGAGTGTGTTGATTCCTATTTTTAAGAATAAAGGTGATGCGCAAGATTGTGCGAATTATAGAGGAATTAAGTTAATGTGTCATCTTTAAAACTATGGGTGAAAGTTATGGAGCATAGTTTGTGGCGTGATACTAACATTTCTCAAAATCAATTTGGATTCATGCCAGGTAGCTCTACTATGGAAGCTATACATTTATTGAGAGGTTTGATGGAGAAGTATAAAGAGAATAAGGAGGATCTACATATGATATTTATTGATTTAGAGAAAGCATGTGATAAAGTTCCAAGAGAAGTGCTATGAAGAGTTCTAGAAAAGAAAGGGGTTAATAATACTTATATTCAAGTCATTAAGGATGTATATGCAAGAGCTGTTACTTGTGTTCAAACACAAGGTGGTTTGACTAGGTGGTTTGCTATTTCAGTTGTATTACATCAAGGATCAGCCTTAAGCTCATATATTTTTGCTTTAGTCATGGATGTTCTCACTAGACATTTGCAAGAGGTTGTACCCTGATGTATGCTTTTTGCTGATGATAATCTTCATATTGATAAGACTAGAGAGAGAGTTGAAGGTAAACTTATGGAGGTCAATTTTAGAGTCGAAAGGCTTTCGTTTGAGTAGATCTAAAATTGAATATATGTAATGTAATTTTAGTAATAATAGTTCTAGTAGGGGGATTGTGACTTTGGGTGATGAAGTCATTAATAAGAGTATACGTTTTAGATATCTTGGGTCTATCGTTCAGAGTGATTGGGAAATAGATGAGGATATTATTAATAGAATTTAAATTAGATGGTTAAAGTGGAGGAATGCATCAGGCTTGTTGTGTGATAGAAACATCCTTCTCAAACTTAAGGGAAAATTTTATAAGATGGTGGTTAGACTTGCAAGCTTTATGGTTCAAAATGTTGGCCATTAAAAGCTAAGCATCATGTTTTTTTTATTATTCCATGAATTTTTCAGCATTCAATCATTGGGATGCTTGAAGTTTCTTATGACGTTTGGTGGGTTTGTTCAATGCCATAATATGAAATTCAATTTTAAACATCATAATATACTTCTTCGTTGTATGTGAAAGATTACAAACAATTGGCTATTGAAATCGGCCAACGGTAGTATTTTGTATGTTTGTTCTTGTAATCTTTGTAAAATTCTATTTTTTTTAACCGTCTATAATTTACTGGTTTATTTATTGTACTTTCCTATATTAGACTTAGTTTTCTTCGTACTTTGTTGAATGGTAATGATAATTGATAATGTATCCTTTTCCTTAACTATAAGTTTTCAAAAATGACACCAAGGTTGTTTTTGGAATCGCTAAATATTTAATAATCTCTTTTATTTATTTCAAAACTAATTTACTAAGTTCTTTGATTTATTTATCAATGCTGTTGGCAGAGTATGATCTACATTTATACTTTTCTTGGTCAAATTGGAAATGATTAAATGTCTGTGATAGCACTATGAAAATTTATTAACATGCTCAGCCAATCATTTCTCACCACCTGAGCTGCATTATAAAGTTTTGTTATGGATGGTTCCTATAGTTTAATGATTTATGAAGTTAATAGCATTCATCATTGGGGTGCTTGAGGTTTCTAATTATGTCACATGGGCATGGAAGTAGCACTAAATTAGAGATGAAACAAGGGTTGAGTTCTTAATATATTGGCAGTGGCTCTTATCCATTAACTCAAGCTATTGAGTTGATGGGTTCATCTACTATTTTTGTTGAGTTCAATTTGTCCCTGTTGTGTTTAACCCTCATAGCAAATGGTATCAAAGTAATGGCTTGGCTGGGATAAAAAAATTAATGCAATTTGTAGCTCACATTGGGTTTAACAGCTTCGACCATGGCCGGCTATCCTTAAGAGTATTGCTTCTCATGTATGCTCCTCGACACAATTGATCTGGCTCGAGCGCATGACACTTAATGTTGTTAGCAAATGTTGTTGTAAGAGACTGATGTCTAATATGGAGGATTTTCATAGGAGAGGGCAAATGTTGAGATTAAGATGAGATTGGAGAATATTTCAACATTAGATCAAAACAAGAGTTGATTATCTTATGCTTTGGATTGATGGGCTTCTATCTACTGATTATTAGGCTCAATTTGGGCCCTTCAGGTTTCATCCTCTTATCAAGTAAACAAACCTCTAGGACTGAAGTTTCTTCAAGCACCAGATAATATTTTACTTCTATTTATATCTACTGTATGGCATGGCTTTGACTTCTAGAAGTCTGCGTGGTAATTGTAGGATGTGTATGCCAGAATTGGTTGGTATAATTTCTATACTTAAAATAAATTTAAAAATTTTCAACTATTCTGTTAGTGGTCATGGTAGTTTATATATATGTATACCAAAATTCATGTAAAAGATCTCATAACTATATTTGGAAATGTTATAGTTTCTTCATTTTTTTCTCACATCCTATTGTTAATCTGCTTACTTATACTTTGATTTATTCATGGTTATTGAAGGAGTTGGTGCAGAGTTAGGTTTTTGTGCATTTACCTTTACCCCAACTTTATTATAAAGCTTAGAATGGGGTTTAGTATTTTAGAATTAGAAGGAAAGTAGAATTTTGCCCAATTATAGCTAATTGATCTTACAGAGATTTACATCTCTCTCTCTCTCTCTCTCTATGTATATATCTATCTTTCTCTTTTATACATATATTCACTCATGATGCACAGGAATATCTTGTTGCGAGTTGCACCCATATTGTGGTTATTGTAGCTCTTCCCAGGATAGGCTTTTCCTTAGCATGTATCATGCCAAGGATTCTTGTCTTTTCACAAATTTTATCTTAATTATATTTGTAGATTTCTTGGTGTATTACATGTATATAATAATCATTTTATTTTGTAGGTAAATATCCGTAGCCGGCGTGTTAGGAATCCAATGATTGGTGACAAGTTTAGCAGCAGGCATGGACAGAAAGGTGTCTGTTCACAATTATGGCCGGATATTGATATGCCATTTTCTTCAGTCACAGGAATGCGACCAGATCTCATCATTAATCCTCATGCATTCCCTTCTCGAATGACTATTGGAATGCTTCTAGAGTCTATTGCAGCAAAGGTACAATTTTTGCATAGGAGGTTTATTTATTTATGTTAATTTTGATATTATTAAAGTTAAGTTCCTTATTAGCTTATTTTAGTAGTTTTTCTTTTTGATATGTGTTTAGAATACTTTTATTTCTCCCAATGTTTAAAATTGCGTATTCGAGTATTGAGGCGTTTTTCATTCGTGAGGCGAGGCGTAAGCCTTAAGGCGTTTTGAGGCGTAAGCCTCAAAATCAAAAGATTGCGTAAACATAAAATGTTAAATTTTTTATATACTAATGAGTGAATAATATAAAACATAAAAAAATATAATATATAAAGTGAAATCAAAATATCCCAATAATAAGACAACATGAAATATAGTTCAACTTAAAATTCTATCTTTCCCAAATCACAGTATTCTTTTCATTAACATATAATTCCAATTTCCAAAAATAAATAGCAATGACATATCACATAAGAACTTATAAGTCATCAGCACTATCATCACTGAGGGGTTCTTCATTTGAATCATCATTATGATGAACTGCTCTCTCCGCTTCCTCCTCTCCTATAGAGTCCAATGTCGGGCATTTACTTCATGATTTATGTAAGTTTTAATATATATAGCGTGAGGCGAGGCGGGCCTCAACCAAGTTGAGGCGCAAGCCTCATAAAAAAACTCGAGGCGTAAGCATCGAGGCGTTTTTTACTGGAATTGCGCAAAGGCGGGCCTCAAGGCGAGCCTCATATTGCGCAATTTTAAACCATGATTTCTCCTAGTTAATTGGGGATGATCATTACTGACATGCTTAATTGATATTAATTTTTTTTATGGAGCAATGGATATAATTATATAATATTTACGCTCAAGGTTGATCTCTTGGGTGTTTGGAATCTCGAGTAAATTTGTACATGTAACACACACTTGTTTGTTTTAATTGTTGAGTGTAGAATGCAAAAATAAAATTTTATTTGTATATACTTGGCTTCAAGATATATGATATATAATTATTTCCTGTAATATTAACCTTCGATTATAGCTTTTTTAATGTCTGTTTCTTTTTTTTTTTTAATATGTGGATTAAATATCAGTGGTAGTATAATCATAATTGAAATGAACCTTTGATCAATGGGTAGCAACTTCATCCAGTTGTAGCTTCTTTAAATAAGCTTGATTGAGCTTTCACAGAAAAATGTCTATCCCATGGTTTTACTGTTTCTAGTTTATTCAAGTAAAAATTATTTGTTTTGGTTATTAGGGATCTTACATTGTTACTAGGTGACCTGAGCTTATATTGGTGGGAGACATGGATTTCCACTCTAAATATTGTCCCTAACCCAAAAAAGGGTGATTTATTTATTTATATCTAATATTAAAGCATATTGATGGAACAACAATGCCATATTTTCTCGATTTTTTTTTTTGTTTCTTTTATGTTATTTTCTTAGTTGTTTATATAACTTATTTGTGAGGTGTCATGATGTCATGGGTCTTTTAAGGATACCCTTGTTATGTTAATGTGAAATTCTTTGAGATTTTCTTCATAAGGATACTCAATTTAAATAGATGTTGAAGGGGTTAAATAGAGGTTAAAGGGTTACGTAACATTCATTTTAATTTTAATGAAATTAAGATTCTTTTGCATAGCTTCCTTCACCTCTTAAAATTTGTTCCGAAACTCCTCTTCCATTTCTTTTCTTCCCGTTTTTCTCTTTGATCCATAGTTCAAGGCTTGATCCTTCTTGCTCCTCAGTTGTTGAAGGCCTTCACAAGTAATGCGCTTGCGATTCTCTGATAATTGGCTTTGCAGCCCAACATTATGTTGAATCAATAACATAACTTGATGAAGAATTGCAATTAAGATCAATGATTAGATTGACATTCATGGAGTACTTTATTGTGAACACTTTTGGCTACTTGTTCCTAAGTGGCTGACTAACAATAATTGTTTTAGCTTTTGATAAAAACACTTTTTTGCTTGCGTTAAATCTAACCAAAACTCTAAATAAAACCCAAAGCCCGTTCAACATTAGTCCCCCAAAACCACAAATTGTAGCTTAACCTTCTTAATTTCCTAAACTCCTAGTAGGAGCTCTTTCTTTTTGTGTAAAAGAAAACCTGTGTGCCTATAGCTGTGCACTCGTCTAGCTTAGTTTATCACCTTTTCCCATCTTTTTTTCTTTAAATTTCTTTAGAATCACTTTTTCTTTAATGAAAACTAGGGTAAACCCATTCTTAATAAAAGAAGAGAGAGAATATATCCACAATATTGACTTCAAAACCCAAGCCTAACTTTATTTTCAAACCGATTTTTTTAATATTCCTCCTTTGAGTGGAATACAGTTCTTCTCCTAATTTTGTATGTATATTCTCTTCCTCTTATCTTTCAGGAGTACCTATCCAAATAGAACCCCTCCCACTTTTGCTCATTTGTTAAACACCCTCTCCCTCTAAGAAATCAATCAAAATCTCCTTCTTTTTCCTTATTAATTTTCCTAAAATAATTTGTTTGAAATTTAAATGAAAGGGAAAAACTTTTTCCTGCACTTTGCAATTCTCCTCAAAACTTTTACTTACATCCCATATAAAATCTATTTCTACCAAATTTCTACCTTCCATTCAATTCATTCATTTTGACTTCATGAGATGATATTCCACCTCTTTTTCGTGCGGAGTTTGATTATTTCAACTTCTACCTTTTAAATGGATTTTCCTTTATATCTTCTTCCTTGGATTGATTTCTCATTCGGATGAATTCGCCTAACTCTGCATTATAGTAGAAGACTTTCAAATTATTCCTTTGTTACCTTTCAAATACCCAGTGTAGAGTTATTTGTACTTTTAAAAGAGTTGATGGTGGACCGAATTTATGTCATGTGTTGTTATGTAATATCCATAGCTGCTTTATTTGAAATATATAGGGTAATAGGCCATGTGTCATCTTAGGATATTTTTATAAATTGTTGAATGCAGGGTTGCGTTTGCATCTTATGATTGTTTATATATTATGTTAGATGTTGATTAGGTTTTCTTGTTTACTTGGACCATCCATTATAAGTAGAAGTTTAAAGGGTATGTAATGTCTTATTTTGAGTGGTAATATGGTGCTTTGTATGGATCCTTTTTCTTAGATCGTGTGCCATAATTTTATTCCGTTTTCTGCTTTTTGTTCTTTCTAGCCTTCATTGTTCAAGGCTCTACTTTTCCTTTCTCGAAGGCTATTTAAGATTTTCATTAGAAATCCTTCATTATGGATTGAATGAGACACACAAGTAGAACTTTAGAACAAAATTTATTGTGCGCAATACATGTTTTAGACTATTTTAATTGTTATAAAAATTCGCTTAAGAGTTCATTTTACAGTAATTTGGGAATGAAATGCCAACATTATTGTGAAGCGTCTCCAACTTTCAAGACAATGGAATTCAAAGAAAAAATAATCTTGCATATTGCGACAAAGATATCAAAATTTATGTGATTCAACTTAAATAAAAACTACGCCCATTGGTAAAAAAAATGAGCTAATTTAATAAAAGGTACTCTCGAATTGTAGATGATCTCATTTTTGTTCAATTAACAATAATATTCTGTTATATTTTTTCTTCCCCAGGGTGGGAGTTTACATGGTCAGTTTGTTGATGCAACTCCTTTTTCTAGTTCAACTCGGGAAAAAGGTTCAGAGAAATCATCAGAAAAAAGATCTATGATTGATGAAATAGGTCCCATGTTAACCTCCCGCGGATTTAATTATCATGGAGTAGAGGTTCTCTACAGTGGCGTTCTTGGTACGGAAATGAAGTGTGAAATTTTTATGGGGCCTGTTTATTACCAAAGGCTTCGACATATGGTATCTGATAAGTTTCAGGTTAGTATTTGCGTCTCTTCATTTTTGTTCTTTTGGTCAGTAGTTTCTTTTTGTTATAGATTTATATAATATATTTTTAGAGAATTAATCTGCCATTTGATTTTTGTGCAAAACTATAAAATTTATTCTTTTCTGGGCTCCGAAGCCTTTTATACGCTTCCAAATGATATATTTTGCATCTTCTTATATCATATGAACATATTTTAAGTCCAACTTCCATATTCTCGGTACATTACCTTGTTTTGGGTGTTTAAAATATGCTCTTTTCTTTGTCCTAGTCCAATATGAACATTTCATATGAATTTCGAAAAATGCTTTGATTTATTCAATCACAAGTTCATAGATTAATAAAAGAAACATATTCAAGGAAAAATTCCCTTGAATAAAGAAAGCACACACAATGAAAATCATGGAGAATATAATCCCTTATGCTATCATCCAACATGATGGAATATTATGATTTCATGCATGAGCATGATTCATGGCATGACGTGGGCAGAATCATTTCCGGGTCAAACCCAAACCCGATTCGAAACTCAAATCGGGTCAAAATTTCGAACTCAAATCCGACCCGTTAGTTAACTGGGTCGACCCGAACCCGGATTTTTTAAAGTCGGATTCGGGCCGTGTTTCGGGTCGCGTCAAAATTTGACACCCCTAATTCGTGCATTTTGTGTTGCAGGTGCGATCAACAGGTACTGTGGATCAGATTACCAGACAACCAATTGGTGGAAGGAAGCGAGGAGGTGGCATTCGTTTTGGAGAGATGGAGCGTGATTCCATTCTTGCTCATGGAGCTGCTTATCTTTTGCACGACCGTCTCCATTCATCCTCTGATTATCACATTGCAGATGTCTGCTCCAATTGTGGGAGCCTGCTCACTGCAACTGTGGTTGAGCCGCGAAAGAGGATGACAAAGGATATCAAAAGAAACCTTCCTCCACCACCAAGATTGGCAAATAATATAATATGCCGTTCCTGTAAATCAAGCAAGGGAATGGAGACTGTTGCAATGCCTTATGTTTTCAGATACTTGGCTGCTGAATTGGCTGCAATGAATGTAAAGTTGGATTTGCATTTGAGTAACAAGATCGAAACCTAAATCTTTCTATTTTAGCTTGCCAAGATCAAATCCTCATTCATCAGCTGCAGTACTAGAAATCTCCCCAAGAGCAAAGAGGTCAACATTCAAAATCCTCCTGAAATTAAGAAGGTATAAATTATTTTTTCTTGTTAAATTAACTGTTCTATCTTTAAATTATTATTTGTTGTGCTTTTTCTATCGGCTTCAGCTTTTGAATTCAAAATACATTATGTATTTTATTTTGAAATTGAGTGGACTGTTAATATTTTTTTTATGATGACTTTCTTGCCTGTGTGAATGACCGTTATTTTTAAATCTTTTAATGAATTTGCATTGACATATCAAAGGAGATTCTAAGAAAAAAAAAACCATTTTTGTTTCAAGTGAGCCATCATAATTTTGCTATTTTCAAGTTGAATGGTGCACGAACTTCAAAGTTGGTATACCAATACTACCAACTTCGGTATAACAAATTTAAACGTTTCCTAATTAGATTAAAAAAGACGGTGGAATCTGTATTCAAATTAGATCAAGTTCTCCTTTGATACAGCTTTCTTCGTGCTTTTTAAAGCAGTTTTTCAGTACAAAAATTTTAGAAATTAGAAGTTTTTATATTAAAAAACTGCTTTTAAAAGCATTAAAAATTTGTCCCAAACTAAGATTTTGTTTGGGATGGCTTTCTTATTGCTTTTTAAAGCAGTTTTTTATTATAAAAATTTTGTATGAAAAAAAATTATTTTAAAAAGTAATAAAAAAGCTGTCCAGAATGAAGCCTAAGTCTAAAATGAGCTTCTTTTAGATTTATGAATGCATGCAGTTGATTATTCTCTCATTTGGGGTTTTGCTGTTTTTTCTTTTATTTTTTATTCTCCTATGCTTCCATTATAATGTGAAAGTCCTAACAAGTAAAAAATGAGCCATCTATTTTTCAAAAAAGTCCAACTCTCTGTCTTCCTGATATGACTAGTTTATATAGTAATTTTCTAATCGCATTTAATTATTATTAAAGTTTAACTACTAATTAACTAACATATATAAAATATTTGTATAGTCATTTTCTAATAACACGCAATTAATATACAAGACAACATGATAATGATGATATTTGATTATGATCATTAATAATTCATAATTGCATGAGTTTAAGCTTATATTAAATATTTTGGTGTTCATTAACATTCTTTGTTATGAGTTAATATGATTTAATTAAGGTTTGTGTGGACACTGAGTGTTAACATTTCAAGTAAAAGTTTTTTTTTTTGGGGAGAAAAGTAAAAGTTCAGAAAGCAATTAGTTTGATATGGACGTTCAAAAACACAATAAATGGTTAGGTGCATAAGTGGGCCGACCCGGCTTAAATTTAGGGTCTTTTCCTCTATATATGGTGAGATTATTCCGTGCGGGCACCGGACCGTCTAGAGGTGAAATAGAGCTCATAACGTCACCTGATACATAGTAGTACGCAGCCACAGTACACAACAAAAGGGTTACGTGGTGTGTTCTGATTCGACTTTGGATTCGATGTTTTAAAGTTTGAAAGTTCTAGCTTTTTTTTTTAAATCTTTGGAGCCCTATATTATTATATATGTTTAAATGCTGAAATTGCTAAGATGATCAACACATACGTAAAAAAAGTGATCGTAAGTAAATCTAACATAAAAAAAAAAAAGAAAAAAAGAAAGATCTTAACTGATTGTACTGTTTGATTATGGATTGTTCCAGATAATCAATCAAAATTAAAGAATCTCAAAGCTTTGATCAGATTATAGGACTATGGATTGTATAGCATGATTGGTTTTAATCTCAAATTAGCTAGGGCATTCTTGTTATAAAAAGACATTGATTAATATGAATTAATCTTAATATCATATATATTATTTCAATATAATATTAACATGATTAGGTTATGTTTAGTAAGATAATTTAAAATTTAAACTAATCATATTATATGATCAATATGAGATTGAAATAATCAAATTTTTTTTAATATGATTAATCAAAATTTGACAGTAAGATTGGTTCAAATTAAATTGCATTAATCATTTGAAATATATTATGATTTTGATGATATTATACTATCTTGGTCAACCAACAAAATTTTCTATATTTTAAGTAGCCTTAGGGTTTCATTTGATAAGTATACCTTTAATATAAAAATATATGCTAAATAGAAATAACAAAAAGAGAGTTATTGAAAATACATATGCCACCTCTTACATCTACAGAGAGTTTCTGGACAAAGAGAGGTAAATTAAGTGTCTTCTAGATTTTAATTTCACTCTCATGATACACTTAGTCTTTACATAGATTGCAAATTAATAAAATAAAATACTTAAATTCAGGGAAAGCTACATTAACTCCAAAATCTTATATGCATAACCAAAGTATATTTATCATCACAAAAAAGATATAGATTGTTAATCTTATAATTAAGCTTAAGCTTATATTAAATATTTTAATTATCACAATTATAAATATGCATGAGTTAATATAGTCTAAATTAATATTGCTCATAATGTTATGGGTGTTAACATTTTAGGTACAAATTGTAAGAGAAATTCATGAGACAAGGATGCTTAGAAGCACACAAATTGTAAGAGAAATTCATGAGACAAGGATGCTAAGCTAAGAGATTTCAAAATAGGTGCTCATAATGGTATGGGTGTTTGTTTTCTAGATTACATATATATTATTATATTATTTTAGGGGTTGAGATTGCCAATATGACCAACATTCACATAAGAAATTGAGCATAAATAAAATCTAGCATAATATTATTAAAAATTAATCTTAATTTATTGTACTATAAGATCATGGATCGTAATATAAGATCAAATAGAAATAAAAATTCTGAAAGATTTGATTGGACTATACAATCATGGATCATACTAAATGATTGGATTTACTTTTAAATTAAAGATTATAATATAAGATCAACTAGAAGTAAAAATTCTTAAAGATTTGATTATACTATGCAATCATGGATCATAATGTATGATTAGGTCTATTAGAAGTAAAAAATTATTAAAGATTTGATTGGATTATACAATCATGGATTCAGTTAAGACATATGATAGTGCTTCTATAGATTCAGTTATCCTTTTAGGTGAAATAAGGATGTCTTTACTAAAAATAAAATGGTGATGTTGCAACCTCCTCCAATATTAAGCAGCAAAGAAATATTTGAAAGAGTAAGGTTCATGCTCACAATAATGGATTGTTCAACATTAGTTGTGTACAAATTATTAGGATATGGTGTCAACCATAATTGGACCAAGAAAAGTATTTTTTGGTCATTATCATATTGGAGAATAAACCTGATTCGACATAATTTGGATGACATGCATATAGAGAAAAATATTTTTGATAATATTTTCAATACAGTCAAGAACATCAAAGATAAATCTAAAGATAATATAAAAGCAATGATGGTCTTAAAGAAGATTTGCAGGAGGAAAGCATTAGAATTAAAAGATGATTATAAAACTTCTCAAACCAAAAGCTCCTTTCACATTGACTTTAGAGCAGAGATGAGCAATTTGTGAATGGGTAAAGACCCTACGGGTACATAATGGATATTCTTCCAATCTAAATAGATGTGTTGACATAAGATCAAGGAGATTATTTGGATTGAAAAATCATGATTGTCATATCTTCATATAATATCTACTACCATCTATCTTTAATTATCTATCAAATCAAATTTTAAAGCCCTTGATCGATCTAAGTGTATTCTTCAAAGATTTATGCTCTTCTAAACTAAATGTAGAAAATTTGATTCTTATGGAGCAGTATATTCCTTATATTCTGTCTCAACTTGAGAAAATATTTTCTCCAGTATTTTTTGACTCTATGGAGCATCTACTAGTGCATTTATCATATGAGGCTATAGTCGGTGGACCTGTTCAGTATCGGTGGATATATCCTTTTGAAAGATATTTAAATAAACTTAAGAAGATCACAAAGAATAAAGCACATCCGGAAGACTCAATTTATGAAGCATATTTAATGTACGAGACAACTCAATTTTACTCGTATTACTTTGAAATAATATCACAATCAGGTAGAAGTACTACACCTCAAAATGTGGGTAAATTCTCGAATATATCTGTATTTAACGGAAGTGGTGAACCCGCAGGCGCTAGCATCGTGTGTTATTTGACTGATAAGAAGATGAGAGTTATCACATTGTATATCTTGCTTAACTGTAATGAAGTTGAGTCGTATGTAACTCATTATTCATATATTTATTATTCATAATTTTGTTCTAAACCCTAAAGTTTGTAGGAGGTTCATTGATGGTTTAAGTACATCAGAACCAGGAGAAGTCTAGAAGATAGTGGAGAAAAAAATTCACTATTTGGTTTAAAAATATGGTATATTTCTCGACTATTCATTTTGAGTAATTTGTCTTAATTAGTTAGCACAACATGTAATAAATATACTAATAATATAATTTGGTTCATTGAAGGGTTCACACTTAAGACAGTGATTCATAGTATCAAGGGCTACTTGAGCTAGTTTGGGGACCAAATAGATTAGTTAAATATTATCAAATATTTTTTGTTAATGGTTATAAATTTCAAATAAAAAATTGAAGGTTGGAAGATAGAAAATTCTGATATATATGTAAGAGGGAACACCCATACAGGGGATGATTCTGAGTACTAATGGATATTACAATAAATATTAGAGGTTGAATATCTTGATTACATGAATATTATGTATATATTCAATTGTGAATGATTTGATCCAGTATAAAATAGAGGCACAAGAGTACATCCGATTTATGGTACAATAGAAGTAAAGCGGGATATGAGATATGCAAAGTTTGACTCATTCATCATTGCTAGTCAGGCATGCCAAGTTTGTTATGCAAAATATCCAAGTAGATTATGAGGAAAATAGGATTGACTTGTAATTATGAAGACCAAATCAAGATGAGTAATTGAGAAAGCCACTTAAATACCATCAGCATATCAATAAGATTTTTGCAAGGTTTTGAAAACTGGACTGGACAACGAACCGGAATAAGGAGAGGTTAACGATTCAACCGGTTCGACCGGTCTAACCGGGGTCGAATCGGATGACGTAATAAATAATAAGTATTATTTAAATTTAATACAATTAACATAAAAATAATGTTATCATTCAAAGTATGAGATAAAAAATTAAATTAAAAAAAAAACTATGAAACATAAAAACTTATATAATTAAGTAAAATAATTATTTTAAAATCTTACATAAAAGCAAAAAGAAAATTAAATCTCATAA